GGTGTTTGCCATCGGGGTTGGGTTTTCGTCGCTGGCAACGACGTTGTAAAACAAGCCGCCCCCCCCGGTGTTTGCCATCGGGGTTGGGTTTTCGTCGCTTGGCAACGACGTTGTAAAAGAAGCCCCCCCCTCGGTGTTTACCATCGCCATCGGGANAGGGGGGGGGGGGCGCACGGGATGTCGTTCTTGGGAGAGGATGGCGGCGGGGACCAGGTAATAAGATCGATGAGGTCGATCCACGGACGCGACTTGGCCGCGACGACCGTGGTTTTGTGTCGCGATATGTGTTGGTTTTTTTTTGTGCCGCTTGTGCGGAGTGTTGGAAAACGCGGAGACCGTCTTCGACGGAAGGCGTGGGGCTTGCTCTGAGCAGAAGCTGTTGTCCTCGGATGGTTGTTCTGGTGGTAGGTGTGGGTATCACAATCCGGCACAAGCAAACCTTGGGAATTGATTGTATTGTGTAGTCAAGACCAACGACCCGTGGCATCCATTCAATCCGCTGCAAAAACTGACAACGGCCCGTGTTGTTGTTGTCCGCGGCTCTTCAACGTTGTCGGTGCCGCTCCGCCGCTTCCCTTTTTTTATTTTTTTTTATTGTGCAGGGTAATTGGACGGATGTAGAGGGGTACTACAAGACCAGGGTGGGGGAGGTAATCGGGGGGAGGTACACGGTGCTGGGATCGGTCGGCCAGGGGGTCTTCAGCACCGTACTCAAGTGCCTCGACACAAGGTAATAAACGGATGACGGTTTTGCACGACAAAATCCTTGCCATGTCATGCGATGGTGGGATCGTACCGTACCGGCACAAGGCGGTGAAGGCCCCGTGGACTTTTTAGTATTTACTTGTCGTCGTTTTCAGTCTTCTCGGCTATTGTAACGTGGCAAGGGTAACAGTTAGGGCTGGCAATCTATCCTGCTGATGGCGGGATTTCGTGCCGCCAGAACTTCAGGCTCCACCACCGCCCTTGCCGTGCCAAGACCAGCTTGTGTTTCGTGTTCCTCGCGTTTGATCGTACCGTTCTTTGGAGGAGGGGGTGCAGGTGGCGGCGGTGTTCTTGCCCTGCGTCCTTTTTCGGTCCATGCGTGCGTTCTTGTTGCCGTTTCACTGCCTTTTTTTTTGTTCTCCGGTTGTCCGGGTGATATGGGCGGGACCTCCTTCCTCCATACACTCATTATGTTGCTTGTCTCTGCTCTGTGTCGTCAATGTTTTACCCAATCTGTTTGTATCTCGTGCCGCCGGCGCTACACGTAGCCTTCATATAGGCAAAGGTAGAGCCGCGCCCTTTTATCGTCGACGAGCGAATGACTGAACGATGTTGATGATGATCTGACGCTGTTCCCCCCTATGGCCGACGGCGTACACCACAGGGTGGCCCTCTGCACAACCTTTCCCATGTGCATCATAGGTGGCGCCAGAGCCCGGCAAGCAAGCAACGTTGCTGCTGTGCTAGCCACGCTAGTGTGTCTGGAGAAAGGACGGCCATGATGGAATGGAAGGGAGGGGAACGTGTGACGTGTGAGGTAGTCCTTTTATTCCCGTATCCCTCCCCTCTCTCCCTCGTTGAGGACATGTTTGGTGCTACAAATATATTTGCTCATTTCGAGCATGGAATGAAGTGTCAGCGACAGTCTTTAATGATTATTCTGAACTACCGACGTAAAAACCTTGTTTTTTCTAGGTTCATGGACCCGCCCACTACGGCGGCCGCGGTCTTGTTTACCCGCCTCCCAGTTCTTTTTTGTGTGTGTCGCGCCAGCGCGTGCTCAAGTGTGCCTTGTCTTACGGCGAAGAGTGCGGGGTTTTTTTGATCGCAACGTGACTTGCGTCGTGGCCGTCGAGAACTGACCCTACCAACTGCTATTTTCGCCCCGCTACTGCCTCGCCCATGTTTTTTCGCCGCTCTCTCTTTTTTTCGTTCCCGCACTCTTCGCACACGATTTGGCCTGTGGCGGACGGGCCGCGTTTCTCGGGTGCCTGTCCGACTCTGCGTCCTTCCTGCCCGCGGTCCGACATTTTCTCGGAAATTTATTGTGGTTCCTGTCTCCGGATCATGTTGTTCCTCCGTGTGGGGGTGCTGGGCGTTGACTGTGCTCTTGCGGTATTCCCGTCGCGGGATCTGGGGGTGTTGGGTTCTGTTTGTGTTGTGGTTTTGTGTGCATCATTTGTGCGGTGGGACTAGGGCGGGGCCCGCGGCGGTGGGGGGGGGCTCCGAGGTGGCCCTTAAGATGATCCGCAACAATGACACGATGCGGAAGGCGGCGCAGAAGGAGGTGGCGCTCTTGAAAGAGCTCGCAGAGCACGACCCCTTGAACAAGAAGCACTGCATCCGGTGAGTTCACGCAAGTTGTCGGTAACAGCATGGTCAGCGTTCCCAATGTCTGCAGAGTTGCCGTGTTTTTCCAACAACGGCTCCGTAGGAACAATAGGCTGCATGTGCTGACCATGATCTAGCCACCGCTCACCATATAGAAGTACGCACTACAATTTAGGTGGGTTGATGCTTTAGGTCGGCAGGAACCCTGGCTAGCCTTTCTTTGATGCTTGGCGTCTTTGCCGCAATCATGGCCGCAAAATACGCGAAACGCCGGCTGTTCGAAGTAGCTTGACGGTCACCCCGCGGTCGAACCACCTCAGGTCGATCAACCCCCCCC